GACTCATTGTCAGTCTGGTGAAAATTTGGAAACATTATCTATAAACAGTCCGAAAAAACAAACCAAGCCACTTCTATTTAATTGGTAGTGTCACGTTGGCAGTTTACTCCAGTTGACGTTTTAGCCTATTGTATTTTGTTCTTCTTGGTCCATGTAATGTTCTATATTGTATCATGTTTATGTTACCTCTTATCCATTTTAATATATAGTTATTACATTCCTTGAAATATGTTCTAATATGTTCTTGATTATTAGCAGAGTATGCCAAGTGGTATAAATCTATCTAAACTGCAACGGAAACATTTAAATATGTACATTTGCCTTACTTAACTAGGAAACTCATTATTTGTCTGAAAAGTATGTGCGTTTTATCTAAACATATTCATGTTTAATTCAGGTGTTCATGTCAATGTTCAAGAATACGTTTATCGTGCTTATCTACTGCACTCGTATAACATGGCAACCCGCAGGAATTTTTCTCAGGGCGGGTCGGTCATCGGCAACAAATAATTGTTTGAGAAAGTAATCTACATAACCTAAAATCTATGAAAAAACATGCTAAATTTGTAAATGTCAGAGTTCAACCATACTCTCAGGGGATGCCACTGCCCCGATGGACCCCCAGCGTACGCCCATGCAGAGAAACTACTTCTAACTAGTTACGATACATAATTATCAAATGTAATCGAATGTGTTACTATACACAGTGCAGCTTGAACTGCTGTAATAAAATTGGACATTTTTCGATTAACGTTTATGATGGTCTATTAGTAATCTATTAGGTTATAACCCACATGGAATGAAATATAATAGTTCGATTTTTTGCAACCGACTATTATAATATCCATTTCTAACACCGACAGAGCCATTATTTTTCTATCAAGGTGTATTAAATCAGTTCCAAAATGAACCCTAAATAGGAAGGAATTGTACTACGCGAAAGACTGAGTAGGTATTCGCCAGGCGCCAATTGCTTAGTAGGAGGAACCAAACGAATCGCCGCGCAAGCGGAAGACAAAAAGGAAAATATCATCGGACTGATAGTAAAATATAAGCGTAGTCTATATGGTAAGATTTTGTTTAATGTTTCAGCTGAGGTCTGGCAATAGTGTAAATATTGCGCTGTCATCACTTGTCAAATCAAAAGAGAATTATCCGTTTGACTCAAATTAGTCTTTACCTCAAATCAACTAAGTGCCGGTTATTCTCATTGATATCTGTTTATTTTATAAGGCACCTGTCAATGCGCACCTAATGAGTTCTTACATAGTGCAACAAAAATGAGTCGTTAAGCTTCCGCTACGTTATTTCTTACTGCGGCAGGAAAAAGCGAATGTCGACGAAAAAATAATTTATAACAATAACGAGAACCGTGGTAATTTGGCATTACTGACTACTGACAGTCATGTCAGGTTGCTTTTTTTGTTTTGACGTGAAGCTAGCCGCGAATTTCAAAATCTTCCTAAACTTTTCCCTAGAAAATGTCGTTGATATATGTGTCCAAACCGGACAAGAAATGAATAGTATTAGAATCACAGACACACATAAGGATACCTAACCACAAAACCAGCAGGAATAAGATAAATATATACCTTGCCACCTTGCAAGGACAACAAAAATCAGGACATTTAAATTAAAGCACTGCATACTTTTTCATTTATTCTTATCTGTGAACTAAAAGTCATATTTCTGTTAGATTTTAAACAATATATTCTTATTTCCTGAAACGATTTTGAGCTTATCTAGATGTGGGAATATCAACAGAGTTTTCATTCCGTCAAAAATGTTTACAAAATATCACTTGTACGCAATTACATCAAGAGTAGTGCATAGAACGGCATCAACATTTTATACTGATGTACTACTGATGTTAATTACTGACAAGCTGCTTCAGCAAAATCGGTACCCTGAGCAAGTGGAGTAAAAAGTTGGAGCTTACGCAAAGGTATTGTATTTGCTACTCAAGATAGTTAACAAGTAGCGATTTTTTTGGTAAAGGAGAGTACTGGTATGCTTTCTAGAGTCTCAATACAGCCACAGCAAACACAATTTGGATAGTCTAGGCCAAGGTTTTGCATAAACGTCATTTGCGTGCTTAAAATATATGTTGTACACTAACAAGTTTTCAGAACAGATGAAAACTTTTGAAAAAAATCGTGAAACCACCTGAGTGCGCAACCGCAGAAGAGTGGTGGTGTAGAAGGTCGACGTAGGACTCTCACCGAAGTACCATTAGAATGACAAAAGGTAAGTAACATGAAAGAACTCATTAAAGCTTGGATAAAATTGCAATTGACAGAAAAGCCTTGCAAAATTGTATTAATGCCCTACAAAATTGAATAAAAATTGATAGTAAAGTGATAATCCCTATGCGTCTCCGTGTGAATTTACTAACTCTTCGGTGATCCCGGTTACAAGTAATTAGGTCCTACTAGGAATGCAAACTGAGTAATATACATTGGCTTTTGCATATGTACAGTCTGAAAAATCTTTAGGGAGCTCAAGTCCTGATCATGATAGTGCTATTAAGACATTTTCTGCCTTGAAGCGCTTTTACTAGATTGATGAGTCTGTAAACCATAGTTCAAATGGTGCAGAAACCATACTCTTCTCGGCAAAGAAAGAAAAAAGCGGAAAAATATTTCAAGACCACAAACATTAAACCGGGATCAAATGGTTATTTAGGAGATACACGTCCAAGCTGGATATTCACACTGAATAGCTTGACGCCGAAAGAATATAGAAACTATCAAAAGCTTGAGGAATCAATTGGATAATTCACCAGCAATTGTACAATCGAAATATTTACAATATTTGCAAAATTGACAATGTACATAGCTTTAAAACAATCCTGAGGTGTACTTCTAGTATAGTTCCAAGGAAATAAGATGTGGAGAGGTGTAATATTTTGGAGACAAAAAGAGAAATTTTGGATTGCGGAAAAGAGGCTACTTATTACATAAAGACAAGAGAATGAGAAATAAGCACACATAACGTTCCCGGTCCACTGAGTCTTTTGTATACCTTGAGTGCTCTACGGCAGTCATTGTGCTAAATCTTGATAATAAATCGAAGATTCCACTTTATAATGGACAAATGAAGCTAAATCCTGAGGATTTCAAGAAACTATTGAGTGTGTGTGGTAGACGGTTGGGTAGATAAGCAGAGAGAAGAAGGCCACTAACCGTATCGGCAAAAGTGAATATTACGTCTACTCAATTATACAAAACAAATGAATAATGTTGAAAAGCTGCCCTCGCATGAGAAATTACAGCCGGCATAGATGGCAAAATATGAAAAACCTACACTGAATATAAATTTGTTTCAGGGTTTCGTAGCACAACAGAAAGAAAAATAAGGAATTCATCAAACATATTCGTTTTAGATAGCAAACCGAAATTGCTCACTGAAGAAGCAGTAATGCTGTCCATGCAGAGTTGACTTACCGTGACGATAATTTTGTCCACCGAGTATCCTTCAGCGAGAGAGAAAGAGTATCCTTCACGTCAAGCGTGAAGCTAACCGTGGTATTTGTGTAGAAGAAGACGGCAAGAACAGCGAACGACGAACTACTACAGAGATGCGATAACGCACGTACGTACGCACAGGATGACTACAAACGCTACGTTTGAACTATCGCGCGCTACTGTCGCCGTGACAGCGGGTGCCTCCGGATCTCGGAGCGGCGCGGCGCGAGAGTTTCGGGGGTTGCCCGGAGCGTCGCGGCGCCGGCGTCGACGTCCACGGCGTCGCAAGCGTCGGTCGGCAGGAGAGCCAGCGGAGCTTGCAGGAGGTGCCTGCTGCTGGTGGACGCCGAGGCGGACGCACCTATAGCGGTTGCACGTTCTCCTTCGTGTCATTCGATAACGCACACTGGGGATTTTTTGACAGAGATGCGAAAAAGGATATATCTCCAACAATAGTCACATTTTCAGTACTGATGCAGTGGTACATCTTTTTCACCAAAGCTGCCAAGCTGCTTGAATGCCAAGGCATCGCGACTGCTATGACGAGATTAAAGAAACTCTGTTAAAAAGATTTTTGAGCTAGTACAAAGGCGCGGTCGTATCGGCCTGTTCTGAATGTGCAAAATTCGACACGGATAGGATGAGAGGCCGAACTCAGGCAGGTCTATTTGGCAGGCACATCGCGCGGCGGAGGAGACCTCCGAGAAGCAAAGCCCGTTGACGTAACGCGAAAGGAGAGCTGTGTCGGTGACGGGTCACCGGAGGGAAGGGGTCCCGAGACTGTCTGTTAGAGAAGAGTTACACATCAGTCGGACAGACCTCCTCTGAATAGCATCTAGCATGGGTAATGTAGTCGGGCAACACCTCAAACATGTGAGCAGTACTCAAGGAGGTCGTGTGGAGAAAAGTATTTCTTAGTCCCGAACAAAGTGCGTGGCTTTTTCGCAGTAGCTGCCGCTATTGACGAGATGTGTTTGCTCCAGCCGAAATGAACAGCTCTGTGGTAAATCTCGGCCATCCATCGAAACTGGAATGGCGCTTCTTATTAGTCAATGTACACCGGAACTCCCGTCAGAATGGAAAACGCTGCTAGTCATCAAAAATAAATCTCTATATGGAAAGGACACGATAAAAATATGAGGACTGCAGCTAAATATACAGTACGACAAAAAATGAAGAAGATAGGCGGAAGGCACATCTACAACATACCAAAAAACGTCTCTAGTAAAAGTTACGCTGTTTTTGAGAGATTATTTTTTTGTCTTTTACGAAAAAATTCCTCGTCTGATCTACCGTTTGTTGCTGATTAAGAAGCTAATTTATCGCAGTACTTTGCAGTAACGGTCCAGTACATATTTAGTTCATTGCTGAATACCAAAGTTGAGTAAAATAGTTTTCTAAAATGAAAATTACGAAGGTTTGTCAACTTGTATTTGTCGATAATGATATTTCAAATGGCAGACCAACTATCTGAGAACAAATATGATATATTAAAAAAAGAGAAATAAAAAAAGGATATCCCAAAAACATTAATGGCCGATTTCACCAACATTTCCTAAATTAAAACCTAACTAAGAATTACTTAGCGGTAGGAATTTCCTAAATACAATCTTTGGTTTCACCAGGCTAGGTAATTCTTAGTTATGAAGCTCCTAGTTAAGACACAGTGTTTAGAAAGTTTTTGTTGTCAGGTTGCAATACTTCATAAAAATCGATTCGATATTTCATAAGTGACAAGTGACAATTATTGTCATTCATGACAGCTGTCTGCTTGGATGCTTGAATGCTATTAGGTGGTTTGGTTAAAATGGATATAATTGTGCAAAAAAGAAAGCGCTCAGCTAATTTCAATAGCGATGATAAAATAATGCTATTGTCTTTAATTGGAAACAATAGCATTATTTTAAACAAAAAAACCGATGGTTCTACAAACCAGATGAAGGAGGAGGCCTGGCTGAAAATTGGGCAACAATTTAATTCACGTGCAGGGGAGAGAAGGTAGATATTTGTCTATTATATATTTATTAGTATTCATTACCACGTTAAATTGGTTTTTGCAGGGAGGTAGAAAGCTTGAAGAAAATATGGGCAAAACTGAAGAGCGATGCGAAAACTTACCGGGCCAAAGAACGCATTAGCGTTTCGCAAACTGAAGGTGGGCCTTCTGAAGTAAAAGCAGACCCCATACTGGAAAAAGTATTAGATATTTTGGGTCGTGCTGGTAGGGGTTTGGAAAATATCAATGATTGCGATATTTTTTTTTTTTTTTTTTTTTTTTTTATATCGAAACAGCCGCGCAGGCAGAAGCCTAAATGCCGGAACACCGCGGCTGCTATGATGATCCCAAAGAAATTTTGTTAATACGATTTTTGAACTGCTCAAGGTTAGTAGAACTGGGAAAAGCTTCCTCCCGTAGTTTGTTCCACAATCTAGACACCCTCGGGACAAAGGAGCGGTCGTATCGGCCAGTTCTGGATGTACGAAGTTTGACACGGTTAGGATGGGACGCCGAAGTCAGGCGGGTCTGTCTGGCAGGCACATCGCGCGGCGGCATCATGGAAGAGAGCTCTGAGGAGCAAAGCCCGTTGGTGTAGCGATAGAAAAGAGCTAGATCGCCGACGGCCCGCCGGTGCGAAAGAGTCCCGAGACTGTCTGTTAGAGAAGAGTCATCGATTAGTCGGACCGCCCTCCTCTGGACAGCATCGAGCATGGACAATGTAGTCGGGGCGGCAGCACCCCAAATGTGTGAGCAATACTCGAGGCTAGGCCTTATCTGGGCCTTGTATAGAGTGAGAAGGTCATGCGGAGAAAAGTACTTCTTAGCCCTAAACAAATAGCCTAGCTTTTTCCCAGCAGCTGCAGCTATTGAAGAGATGTGTTCGTGCCAGATCAGGTCCTCGGTGAACTGGACTCCGACCAGCCGAAATGAATGGCTCTTTGGTAGGACTCGACCGTTCATCGAGACTGTATGAGCGCTAGGACGCTTTTTGTTCGTCAAAGTACAGTACTGTGTTTTGGAAGCATTGAACTGTACAAGATTGTTGCGTCCCCAAGCAGTGATAGCCTCCAGGTCTCTTGTCAGAGAAGAAGTCGTCGCTAGTCTTCTTTTTTCCAGCTCAGCGGCAGAGATCGGCTTGTCACTCTGAATTCCTGCATGTAGAGTGCTGTCATCAGCGAAGCTGTGGATTGGGTTGGTCGTGCAGGAAAGGAGGTCGTTGATATGTAAGAGAAACAGTGTTGGAGCCAAGACCGATCCCTGGGGAACACCGTTGGATAAAAAAATTACGACGGATATCTTGCGGCCAGAGATAAAGTCAGCCACCCATCTGCAAAGCTTTTCTGGGAGGCCGTAGGATGGAAGTTTGCTCAAGAGGGCAGCGTGCCACAGCTGATCGAACGCTTTCGTGATGTCAAGAGCAACGACATGAGCCTCACCATGAGACTGGATGAGTTTACTCCACAGTTGCGTGACGTAAGCTAGGAGGTCCCCTGTGGATCGTTGGTGCCGGAAACCGTACTGCCTGTCGCTAATCAAGCTGTGACCTTCGAGGTAGTCCAGAAGCTCGCGATTTATGCACCTCTCCATCACTTTACTTATAACAGAAAGCAGAGCTATAGGCCTGTAGTTGTAAGGGTCGGTTTTAGATCCTTTTTTTGGGATGGGCTGTACATGAGCAAATTTCCAGTTTTCTGGGAAGGTGCCGGATTCATAAGATATCTGGAAGAGGCGCGAAAGAACTGGAGCAAGCTCAGCTGCACATCTCTTCAGTACAATGGCAGGAATCAAGTCCGGACCGGAAGCTTTGTTGATGTCGAGCGACAAGAGCACTCGTCTTACGGTCTTATGCCTGAATGTTACCTCCCGCATAGTGTGGGGAACCCTTTGAATTGACGGCACTTGGGCGTTGGTGGGGACGTCCATGGTGGAGTTGGCAGCAAAGATCTTGGCTAGCACTTCCGCCTTGGCCTTTGAGTCGAATACAATAGTTCCATCCTGACACGTAAGTGGTGGAAGGCTACTGTGTGAGAAGTTCTTTTCAATCTGCTTGGCCAGCGTCCAGAAAGACCGACTGCCATTGCGCTGCGACATTACCCTGTGCCTAACTTTTATATCATGCTGGGTTTTGGCATTGCGAACCGCTTCGTTGTATTTGTTTCTGGACTCGACGTCGGCTTGTCTGTTCTCTACAGTGGGGTTTTGTAAGTAGGTTCTGTGGGCCTTGATCTTCTGCTGGCGAGCAGTGTCACACGATTTGTTGAACCAGCCGTTGGAATCTGGTTTAGGAACTTTCACTGTGTGAGGGATGTATTCCTCCATTCCGACGTGGATAATTTCGGTTATTGAAGAACAGACAGTCGACGCATCCGCATCAGTGAAACAGACATCTCTCCAAGGAAAGCTAGAGAAGAAGTCTCTGAGCCCCTCCCAGTCGGCATGTCCGTAATGCCAAGTTTTGCGGCCTGTGCGAGTTTCTGCGGCCACAGCGGCTTCTGACCGAAACCTAACCTCCACAACACCGTGATCTGAGTTACCCAGGGGGGACAGGACGGCAGTGCTGTAAGGGGCAGGATGCGTGGTCAGAAAGAGATCCAGCAGGCTGCTGGCGTGTGACGAGACGCGGGGGAAAAAAGTAGGGCTCGTCACCAGCTGGGTCAGCCCTTGAGTAAGAGCGAACGCTTCGACTGCACGACCTGCTGCATCGGTCTTATTTGAGCCCAACCAAAGCTCATTATGGGCATTGAAATCACCGAGAAGAACTACCTCTGAAGCGGGGTGATTGATGTTCAGGAAGTCGATCTGGACGGCGAGGTATTCGAGTAGGTCATCACAGTTATGGTTCGAGGGAGAGCGATAAAGGCAGCAAATAAATTTGGGTGATGTTTTGGAGTTGAGGCGAAGCCACAGAATGTCCTTCCGGTCTGATTCCAAAGAAAGATCCCTGGAGCAGGAAAGACCGCTGCGGACAAAAGCCACAACTCCCCCGTTCTTTCTCAGATTGGAGTGCACCTCGTAGTTTGGGAAGTTGAGATGGTTAATCGGTGCAGCCTCTGAGATTTTTGTCTCCGCCAAGAAAAGCACGGCGGGACGATTGGATTGCAGGTAGTGATGAACAGCATCAATGTTGCTGTTGATCCCGCAGATGTTCGAAAAACAAATTTTATCTTCGATGTTGTTCCCTCGAGCCCACCCTCCACCCGGACATTCCGAGAGTGGAGTGAGTTTACGTCCGGAGTTTTTAGTGCTCGAGGGATCCATCATCATTAGTTTCTTTGTTTTGGTAGATAACCGACTGCATAGCTTAGGTGTGGAAACATGCGGACATTTATAAGACACCCTGGGAAAAGCTAGCGGGTGGTACTGCCTCGGTCGACTGGTCCTTGTCTACCACCTTCTTTTTACGTATTAGTGATGTTAAATAGACCTAAAGTGGCCCGTTGGCGGACTTGTACCGCCACCCGGCAATCGGTACTGAGGTATTCCTTAACGCGTGCGCAATCACTTGAACGGGAAGAAGTTGTATACTGGATACAACGACTTCCGGAACAAGCATTTGCCACGGCCCTCGCTCAGTAGGGGGATGAAGAACGCAAAGAAAATATGGTACCAGAAAATGCTTCATTGGGTATGTTATAATATATATATGTAATGAAATTCAATGCTAATAGAAAATGATATATTTCAGATTTACAAGATAACATTGTTGTTGAGGAAGAAGAGGAAAAGGAGCATCAGATTCAGCCTCAAATAATAGTATGCATAATCATCATGTTGTTTTGGATGATTTTTAATAGATTTTTTTCAAGGATAAGATGCCTGTTCACCAAAGAAGACGACCACTAATTTCAATTGAAAGAGGGAGCTCCTTGAATGAAGCACGGTGCTTAACAGAAAGGAAAAAACAAGAACTAATAGATGCAGAAATGAGAAGGGAAATGGAACTTCACGAGCTCAAAAAAAGAAAACTAGAAAAAGATATTGAAATAAGGGATCTTATAATTAAAAAAATTAAAGGTGAGGAAGTTCTTAATTTTTTATTGAAAATGTCTAGCTACAAGTATATCTCGACTTAAATTATTTTGACCATTTTAAATATTTCTTTCCATTTGGCCATTTTGTATATCATTTTCAATATTCTCTACTTCTACTGGTGGGACATCTTCATTTTTATCTATGCAAATGTTGTGTAATACAGAGCATGCCAATATTACATTTATAGAATTTTCTAATTTTAATCTTAATCCGGTAGCCAATACAGGAAATCTTCGTTTTAGCACTCCATATTGTCGTTCCACTGTATTTCTTGTTGCAATATGTGCCCTATTATAATTTTGCTGGCCGATGTTTGTGGGCTTAAAAAGGGTGTCATCAGATAATTCTAAAAATATTTAAATATGTATAAATAACGTTATCCAAAGCAAATGTATACAAAGCATGAAATATATATGTTATTCTTGTTTCAGATGGAGAACCTCTAAACGATTTGATCACACTTATGCAAATGGGAAATTGAAGTAAAATGAATAGATATAAAATGGAATTGTTTTGCAATAAATTTCCAAATAAATTAATAGTTGTTTCTTTTATTATTTTTTAACTTACTAAAGGTTGTGTGACTAAGATATTGTTTATTATGTATATCATATATCTTACTTTTAAAGGATATCCATTATCTCCCAAAAGTAATCCTGCAGCATGCACTCCTGTCTCAAATTGATAGCATAGTCTGCTATTTTGAAAAATAGCAGAATCATGTGTAGATCCTGGCCAACGACACACAATGTTTAATATCTTTAATTTTGCATCAGAGACAGTTTGTACATTCAATGAAAAATAACCTTTTCTATTTCTGAACACTTCTGCATCATCTCCACCTGAATGTAAATGTTCATAAATAATATTGTCTTGGTATTAGGTCATTAATTTACCTGGTGACTGTATCTTTATGTGTGTACAATCAATTGATCCTAGAACATTTGGAAATCCGGCAATTAAAAAAAGTCATGTTTTACTTTATTTCTCTCTTCATTTGTGGTGGGAAATTTTACAAATCTTTGCAGCAATGATGCCAAAGCATGAGAAACTTTCTTTACAATCCTGCAACTACTGCTACTACTAACACCACCATAATCGGCAACAGATGTTAAGTGGCATCCTGTTGCATAGAATCGCAACGCAATTAAAAGTTGGTTTATGGGTGCAATTGCAGCATTTCTGTAAAAACGAAATATTATCAATTTAATTTCAAATATTAGGTACCTTTACACTGTTATACATCCCTGTAATCTGCATATGCCAGCTGATGTTCAATTTGATCTAAGACGAACAGTGCAGTCTTTTTATTCATGCGAAATCTACGGAAAAAATCCATTTCGTCGTACTGCTCGAAATAATCGGTACGATCTCTCAGAGCACGAGGACGTCGTATATGTTCATCATCATCGTCATAATGGTCCAAATCTTCGATAAATTCAATCACTTCCATATAGCTGCTATATTCGCTAGGAATATAACGTCACTTATGACAAATGTCAAACGGGCTAAGAACTTCCTAACCGGCTTAGAACGCTGTTTAACCAATACCTATCTTAGGTAATACTTATCTCACTTTAGGAAATACTTAGCAACTGGTGAAACCGAAAATGGATTTGGGCAGTTCTTAACTTGAATTAAGAAACTCCTAAATTTTAAGACACGTTGGTGAACTCGGCCATAAAACTTTTACCAGGGTCATTTTTTGGTATGTTGTAGGGATGCCCTTGCCTATCGTCTCTATTTTTCATACTATTTGCCGGACACCCTGTATAAATAACGAAAGAAAATTATATTCATTGTTATAGGTTCATAAGTTTTATTGCATATTGCGTATACATATAAAATTATTTGTTGTAAGTTTTATTCTTCTTAAAGAGCCATTACTTGTCTGCTAAGATCAGTAGTCTTTCCTATAATCCAGGAGCTGCCACTACAGTCATGTGTGTACTTATGTAGGAGTGACCATATTTTAGATACAGGAGGAAAAGTGCGGAAGTTTCGTCATCATCCATCATCGTCTCATGTCGTGAAAGGCTGTCACAAAAGGTACTAGAACCTTTCCTACTGATTATTCTGCTACTAAGGATTTTGATGAATTACAGGAAAATTTATGGTATTGATTTTATCGAAAATCAATATTCAAGCATTCAATGTTGAGTAACCGAAAAATTGGTAAATTATAAGGCGAAAAGCACTTCAGACTTTTCCAGTACAGTGCGTGAAGAGATCTTTAAAATGCGTTTCGCTGGAAGTCGTAAAACGGAGTTATGAGTTTACTCGCCTCTTTGGAGAAGAAATCCATACTAAAAGTAACGGTTTACTGCAGGACTTGAATTTGAACGAAATCCATTTGCAACTTATTTCATTCGAGATTACCATTATGGCCCAGAAATCCAGTTTAGGGAGCCTTTTTTAGCCATCGTTAAGTAAATGGAAACTAATAAAATGCAGGCTGTGAGCGATATGAATACAAAAATGCTCTTTCCTATATCTTGAATATTCTATGAAAAATTGTACCAAGTAGATTAAATTATTTTTATACTACGTAGGTATCTTCAAGCACCCAAGTCCTTCCTAGCGTCTGAGTAGTATATTCATATGAACCTAGGATTCCAGCGGTCGATGTTAAGTTTTTCTGACAACTTTTGTATATTGTTCTTTAATGTCTTCAGCTGCAGCAGAATTGTTGGCCAAACTATACGAAATCATAAAAGTGGTCAATAATGGTGCATTATTCACCAAAGCAATTTAGTAGGTACAAACTGAATGCTTAACTTTTAATATTTGATTTACTACTAAGTTTGTCCGCAGAATTAAATCAACTAATGGGACGTTTCCGATGGGTATTCATTTGAGGCTAACAATGTTATCATTATAAACTTTTTATCGCCTTGTATATAGTGCAAGAATGATAAGAAACTTCTTTTTGCCATATATTGGTATACCGTAAGTGCTCACTAGCTTTATCCTCCAGGAAAACAGTCATATATATTCTGGATGGTACGATGAGTATAACATAGATGAGACATCGTAGGGATTGAGAATATCAGAACCGGCTTAGTATGACCTGTAGTATGGTAAAATCATACTGTATAATATATTGTTATTAGAAACTTGTTAGGTATTGCAAGTAATATAATTCACCGGAAAGGCTGCGCTAGGCAGAGGAACTATCGAAGTACCTTGTAGTACCCATCAATATATACGTTTTTAGGCAGAATAAAGCTAATAATCCTGAAATCAAGTTGTGTTACTAAATGCGCAAATGCCCGAAATAGATAACTCTATTACAAACCTAGTAAGGATACCCCAATCAATTGTTGCAGATCCGTATGCTGTACGATTTGAGGGATTTGACAAATTGAGGGTTGGTGGGTTAATTTCTAAGAAAAATAATTTCATTTGGCAATCATTATCAAGCCAGTGTTGTCTTGTAATGATTTACTAAAATAAGTTCCATATCTCTATAACATAAAGTGGATTTCATAATAAAAAGGTAATAATACAACGGTTAACCTGTCCTCCAATGTTATTGAATTTCTTGTACACTACTAAATATGTATGTAGTTGATACAGTAAGATGGTGTATGAAAAAATGTATATTGTATCTGCGCGCGTTCTCCTGCCGAACACGTTCCAGTGGCGGGAAAAGGAGTTGTAGAGGCGCCGCGACGCCCGACCGTCACCATGGAGATGCGCCGGTCATGGCGCCTAGATCAGGGGGAGCGCCATCACAGGGGAGGGAGGAGTAAGGGAGCAGGAGATAGGAGGCAAACACGGTCACGGTGAAGGTACTGGGGCACGGGCACGGGACAGATCGCGACTCGACTGCTCAAGTGATATTCGATTTTGCGCTCTGGAATCTCATGCCTCGCGGAAACTGGAAACTTATACACTGCTTTTCAAAATTATCCCCTCAACCCGAGAATGAAAACACAATTACGTGGAAATTACAGCACAATCTATTAGAAGTCATTTTTACTATTATTGTCTTTACAAGTAATGATGCTGTATATTTTTCAAGGTAGGAGTATAACCCACAAAAATAAGGCAGGGTTTTCCAAGTGCAAGGCAATTATGGAGCTCCACTTGATTTGAAGTTAACTCTCATAGGACTGGTTTTTTAATTGAAGGCTAAAAGCAACTTTATTATTCCTAACCTCCTGCCTGACGCCCATTTGAGGTCTGCTATGGTCCCATATTCTACTGCCAATACCTCACATCGTGTATTCACAAATATCATCCTATCAGCATCCTTCTGAGTTTTTGAGTCTTTCGATGTGAAAACTAAGATCATTGAGTTATACAAAGATGGCTAACGTTAAATCGACATTGCCAAAAATTTGAAGCTGAAGCGTAAAGCAGTTTGGGCAACATTGAACAAATATAAACAAAAATGTATCTTGGAAGCCTCTAAGAGAAGTGGTCGGCCTAGAAAGCTAAATGCTAGATCAGTTAGATTAATAAAAGTAATGTCGTCCAAAGATCCGTTTAAAACCCCAAGACAAATAAAAGCCGAAATTGAGACAAAAGAAATTGTCAGTGTTTCTAGGAAAACTATAAGTAGAAGATTAAATGATTTGAAGTTATTTGCACGTCGCCCGAGTAAGAAGCCGCTAATCTCAAGGAAAAATCGTAAGGATCGATTACAATTTGTACGGTTGCATCTTGATTGGGGCATCTGTGACTGGAAGAGGGAATGTTTCAGTGACGAATCCAAGTTCAATATGTTTGGATCAGATGGTGTTCATTACGTTAGACGTCCTACTGGACAAAGACTGAATCCCAAGTACACTTTGCCCACTGTCAAACATGGACGCGGATCTGTTATGGTTTGGAGGTGCTTTTCGGGGTTTGGGATGGGATCTTTACATAGAATAGATGGCATTACGGATAAGTTTGTATAATCTAACATACTGAAGCATTCATTTTACCCTATATGGAAGACAATATGCCCTTAAGATCAATCTTCCAGCAACATAATGACCCTAAGCACACTTCGAATCTCGAAAAGAAATTCTTTCTGGATAAAAAAATACCAGTTCTCAAATGGCTTTCGCAGTCTCCTGATATACACCCCATTGAAAATCTATGGGAATACTTAGATAAGCGAATACGAGATAAAAGTTATTCAAACAAGGATGAACTTTGTGCCGCTTTAGAGCAAAAGTGGAGACAGATTGATGAATCTTATATCAAGAAACATCTGTGATTGATAATAATGGTTATGCTACAAAATAATAACACAAGCATGGTTGGTTTTCTATAATTCAATGAAGTTTGCTTCTTTTTTCTATAATTGTTTTGCTTTGCCTATATAATTTTGTCCTTCATAGTTCCAGCTGTTTTCAATTAATTTTTTATTGAAGGGAGTCTAATGAATTTATTTATGTATAAGTGAGTATTATGCTATAACGAATTATGTATGCAGGTTGGTGTATTAATAAAACAAGTTAATAAAGAAATACAGCACAGTATTAATTTGTCTATATACTTTTTCCATTCCTGCATATATCAGGTAACCAAATAAGTTCGTGCGGTTTTTAGTAGAAAAATATAAACTTTTATTGAGAAACAATAAGACACTATCTATTCATCGAAGTAACTACCATCACATTCAATGACCTTTTGCCAACGTGGAACCAATTTTTGTATGCCGGTATAGTGCTTCAGAGATGGAAATTTCAGAAATGAGAGAGATAAGAAATAACTATATTCACTGTACACTGTCGAATTAAAAGTCATATACATGCTAACAGTAATTACACACAACGCGGGCGCGGTGGTGATTTCCAGTAATTCCCCTCAAAGTTTTTGAGAACATAAAAACATAAAAAATCGTAATTTATAACTTTGAACATAACCTTATGAAAGGACAACATATAAATAACCCGTCGTCAGTAATGATTTTCTCACACAGCAAATATCACCGATTTTATACACATGCAGACCAATACACACAATCGTCCAGATGCGATCTTGCTATTCAACCAACTTTCTTCTCAGAGATAAAAACTTCAGACTACTCAGCTTCATCAAATGTATGCAAGCAACAATGCTTGTAGTTGAGCCATCCTTCCATAAATGGACGCTCACAACGATCCTAGTGAGCAAATGTAGAATGACTGTTTGCGCCCTAAGGAACTACCTAGTCTGCAAGATGATATTTTATAGTTTTTTTTTTGAATCTTATAGGTTTCTTACATAATACCAGTGCCGGTTAGTTAGCTGCTGGTTAATTCTAGATTAGATTTAGAGTCAGCTTGAATGTCAACTTGCGATTGAAATCAAAGTCTAAATCGCTCTTCAGCACTCATCCGTACATGCTGAAATGTCCTACGCTTCACAATCAGTAAAAGTGCTTCTCAATCAACACATCGTCAGGCAATACGCTGCCCCTAGTCTGCAAGATGACATTTTATAGTTTTTTTTTTGGGAATTTTATAGGTTTTTTACATAATACCCGTGCCGGTTAGTTAGCTGCTGGTTAATTCTAGATTAGATTTAGAGTCAGCTTGAATGTCAACTTGCGATTGAAATCAAAGTCTAAATCGCTCTTCAGCACTCATCCGTACATGCTGAAATGTCCTACGCTTCACAATCAGTAAAAGTGCTTCTCAATCAACACATCGTCAGGCAATACGCTGCCCGGTAGTGTGCATCACTAATTGGCACTGATATTGCTTATTCATTCGCAGCCATATTATAGAACACCAACGAGATAATTAATATGTTTTGGAATCCTGCGGCTATTATTATCTCTATCACGTATTAATTACACAACCGCAGGATCTGTCATCCATTGCTATTGTAGATTATGGCATAAAGCTACAACTGCTTGTTAAATAGCTACAGTTGCTGTGGGAGGTATATCTCGTTTGTGTTGAAGTTTAAATTCATAATAAAATTATAGAAGTAGTGTTCTTTAAAATAATTCAGAATATAAAAATAATATATAAAGAAACATGTCAAGTTGGTCAAATAAGACGATAAAATTAGTTTCAACCCATTTGACAAAGTTAAATATCAGAAAATGATTGAATTTTCGACAAAAGCTCCAAAAACTGTGAACTTTCAAAACAGTCAAGTACTAACATAAAAATAAATATGTTAATGAACGTTTGAGTTACATATGTTTTAAAATATTTAAATGCAAGACCTTCATTGATGTGAAACCCTGTTTATAGCACCTGCCTCTTTTAATGAAATTTGCACCAATTTCAACATCAAAGGATAATACCTGCTCCATATCTTTTGTATCTCCTCCAGATATCTTATCCGGTTATTTTCCACTGAATTAGAAGATTGCTTATGCCGATCCCTAAAAAAGGATCTAAGGATCTAAAGTCGAACCTTAGACGTACAGGTCTGTAGATCTGCTTTCTGTTATCAGCAATGTAATGGAGAAGGGTATCATTCGGGAGCTTCTGGAGCAAGTCTGATTAGCGACAGGCAGTATGGCTTCCCGCACCAGCGATCAACAGAAACCTGGTAGTTCGAGCCACAAACCCGCAGAGTAAGCCTATTCCTTCAAATGGTGGTGCTTATATCGTTGCTATCGATTTCACGAAAGTTTTCGATTAACTGTGACACCCTCTTATGCTAACTACCATGCTATGGCCTATCCGGCCGCAAGATATCCATCAAAATTGACGGGATCTCCTCATCGTTTTTCAGTTAGGGATCAACGACATTGCCTTCTGCGCGATCAATCCAATCCACAGCTCTGCTAATAACAAGACACTACACTCTGGTCACTAGCTGGAGGGTAGCAGACTAATAATAGCATAGAGGCAACAATCTGGTATAGTTTAATGCTTCCAAAACACAGTACTGTTCTTTGACCTGTAAGAAGAGTCTTAGCGTTCAATTGGTTTCGATGGATGGCCGACTTTTACCAAAGAGCCGACCGTTCCCGCTGGTCTGAGTCCAGGCACATGTTCTCAAAAACATTGTTCAGGGATGAGAAGAGTATTATTCTATATACCCTTCCCGCCCCGACTGCATTATCCATGCTCGCTGCTGTTCAAAAGAGTGCTGTCCAACGGATCGATGACACTTGTGAGACGGACAATCTCGGAAGCCTTTCGCGCTGATGGACAAGTGATCTGTCTCTCTTTTATCGCTATGTCAACGGGCTATGCTCGTCTGAGCTCGCCTCGATGATGCCGCTGCGCGTTAAGCCATCCAGAGGGATCCACCATGCTTCTGCACCCCATAAAAACTCTGTTCAACTTAGTATATCCAGAACTGACCGGTCGAACCGCTCCTTTGTTCCTAGGGTGTCGATGGTGTAACAATCTACCTTAAGAGGATTTTCTCAGTTCTGCTAACCTCAAGCACCTCGGAAATCGGATTAACAACGTGTCTCTAGGCTCCTCATAGCAGTCTTGGTGCCCCGGTATTCAGGTTTCTGCCTACTGCACCAGCATAAAAGAGAAAAGAAAAACAAGTTTAAAGCTATGCGGTATTATTCGGACAGAAATTCGGCGCAACTTTCTCTCTATTGATCGAGGCATAAGAGTTCACCGAATAATTATTCAAGCAAACTGAAAATCTTTGTGGATCGAATTAGCCGATTTAGAGATTAAAACTTTCCAAATCAATCCGAAGGTAGAGCGTCGGCAGCCTGTGCACACCGGCTGCTAATTCGCGTGGAAGTTGCGCCACGCCGGGTGCGTAAATTCCCTGAATCAAACTTTAAAATCGGAAGTTTCCGAAGAAACGGCGCAGTGAAGAGATTCGGTAGCGGGTCCTGACTAAGTTGGCTAGAAAAATTGCATAGGGGAATGCTCAAGACATCCGAGAGGTGAAAACTTATTAGAAAGGTATAATATAGGGCACGGAAAATTTGATGGAGAAGTCATTTACACTGGTCCAGTTGCCCTTGTTCAAGCAAAAAAGCTTGTAAGTTCGTTTTTCGAAACAAATAATAATAGAAATAGGACACAGGCTAATAATGTTGTGCAGATCTTGAACCCGAGGTGTAAGCAAAACTTCGAAACGTTACAAAATGAAACACCATATTTGAAGGTTTTTGGATAATTTTGTCTGAAATATCTCTGTTCCCAAATATAATAGCTATTCAACTATATTATGTGTAAATTACTGTTAACTGACGTTCCGGCTACAACTGACCTTTTTTAATGCAGATTGGCAATGACAATACTTTTTATATTTTTTATCTATCTTCCAGGTGACAGTTGACTATTTTATTTAAGGAAGCTTGTGCTTGCTATTTTATAGAACTTGACAGTTGCTTTTTGGCTGGTAATACTCTGGAGCAGAATACTGTTTTATAAACTGTTTTATTTTTGCTTTTTGCACAAAAAGATGCTCAAATTATAAGAACATAACATACACTGTATATTTTTTGACAATATTCATCGCAATAATGCAGATTTGCATCATTATAATGATGAAGATACGTTATTGTTAAGTAGTAGTTTCTTTTATTTCACATAAACATTCCCATCACGATCATAATTTCTCAATCTAGTTGCATTGTTGCGAAATCCTGGATAGTATGAGTCGGCTAATATAGTAAATCAATTTGGTTTGCCAAATTCTTGCTTCCTAAGGCAAAAATGTGCAATCGGCACAGGATATCCGTAAAAATGCGATTTGGAGGTGTGGTTGTCAGGTTTTACTGTACTAAATCTACCTCCTGCGTTGGCTAAAGGCACTTGTTTGAACAATTTCTTCTGCCGTTCACGAAAATACTTATTTTTCTCTATATTACAGTATAACTCGTTTATTTTTTGTATGTCCGTGCTTGAAGAATTATTTAGAGTGAAGTTGATGAAACAAGATATACGTAATTAAATGTAAGATATATATTATGAGAATTTACTGAAAAGTAGACGTTGCTAGTTACTAAATAATGAAAACGTAACAAAGATAAACATTGTAGTCAGAAAACTAGATATCAGTATAAGAAATGTGTGATATTGAATAAGTTTTTTGATGCTTGATGATCATTATTGAACTATAATGTTGAACGGTGATATGTTAGGGGGACCTGGCGGCGTGGTCCAAATAGACGAATCGAAGTTTGGTAAGCGCAATTATAACCGAAGTCGCAACGTCAAAGCCACTGGGTACTTCCTAGAATGATTAAAACATCGGGAAGGGAAAATGTCAGCACGGTGGAGATGTCTGAGAGGAATGCCAATACGCTTATCCCCATAATCCAACGATATGCCCGTCCTGGATCTGGATATATCTGTCGTAGGCATTTGTCGCGTTCGCGGTACTGATTTTTTGCGTTTTTATTAGAATCAATTACAGCTGAATATCAGTTTTAAACGCTTCTAATAAAACTGCAAATATCACCTTTTTCAAGGCGAATAACTAATGATCATTTAAAGAAAGGAATGGGGAGGAATCGATCGCCTTCACTTGCTGCTCTCTGAAAACATCATATGCCGGATAAACGATGTATTAATGGCCATAACTTGAGTATTTTTATATGCAAGCTGCTAGTGTTTTCCACTGTTTAGGCACATACTGTTCAAAATTTCATCTAGCTTTCAGTAAATATTGGCACAGCTTCTTACGAAAAAGCCGTTTACATTAAAGAACTTTATTTAGCAAATAACCATATTTTTAGATTACGTATTTCGCGCAAAAAAGTACAATTTGGCAATAATGGACATTCATCTTACATGTCAAAAAGTGTGCGTTATAAAATACTCCTTGAGAATCGTTTCTACTTTCAAGCCTTCCTTATTAACACAAAAACTTCGACCTCATTGAAAATACGTGAAAAAAGCTGGTTAAGGAATTTCAAGAAGGCTAGCTTTGAACCTTTTTCTTACAAAAAGGACATTTTTTGAAGTTTCACATCTATTTTTCTTAAAGAATGATCATTTCTAGTGGTTTCGAACAAAATGTTTGGTCCTTATGCCCTAAAGAGTGGTCTTACATGTTGTCAGTTGTCATTATCATGGCCATTGCCCATTTACTTTATTTGGTTATCAAAAGGTGCTCAAAATTGGTTGAGTACATATTTTTCACGAATAATGGGCTAATACAATGGTCGCTTAAAACGAGGTTAGAAATTAGTCGGCTATCATCAAGTGTCATTACACGACTCTGTTATAATTTCTAAAAATAAAGTTTTACAGTATTCCAGAGGAAAATTTCATCTGTCAATCTATTGTGTACGGTATTACTTTACCAGGTAATTTACAAATTCACCCTGGTGTGAGAGGTTTGAAACTACTACTTGGAGCATAAAATTTATGAGAGTCATATGAAAACTTCTGTGTTGAATGTGTCGTAAAAGCAGGACTGGGTCTGCTCAATTCTGAAGACTCAGCTTTCGGATACATAAATCTTTCTTCGTTCTGCATTTTCCATTCAGGTTTCCACGATTCACAACGCACTCTGTAAAAATGATGTGAATTCAGCAAACACATGCATCGCAGATAGAGCATTATTATCATACCTCGATAAATTTGAATAATGTGATGTAATTATAAAACGATTTGATACCGTAGACTACAAGCTGTGTACCAAACATTTAACATAAAGTGAGCTACTATCGATTCTCCTTGCAAACATGCTAATAGGTTCTTCCTGGATGGAGAATATGCTGATGATGTCATTAAAAGGGACTCTTCGCATATTTTGCTGATCGGGAACGTACAGGGTGATCCCTTCGAGACTACAGACACTTTAGCATATATACATATATCGGTACTTTGAGGCTGAAATGAGCGGCTAGCATGATTATGTTAAATTATTAGCGGCAGATAAAGGCAGAGAAATATTAGATACGGCACTGTGGTTCCCACAGATTAATGCAGTACACATGCTCTTTCTAGTTGAAGTTCCTCAATACTACTCGAAGTATAAAAGCGCTCAATTATGAGAGTTCGCAAGTCACCCATCTTGAAAGATAGTAAATCTATAGGGTCATAGCATACTGAAAAGGAGCCTCAAAACGAGGTTAAGCATGACCCCCTATTCCATTTAAAAGATGTTACATGATGGCATCCTGCCGAGCCGCTATCTTGACATTATCAACTGTTCATGTGTAAATATTCATCGTGGCGATAAACTTTTCCATGGGCACCAGGTCCGGAAACCCAAAGTAGTCACCCAAAGCTCATAACTGTCACGTCTAATATTCGTATACAGGGTGTTCATTTAAAAACTTCCCACCATGGATTTATAAAAAACCACAGATTAAAATAAAAAACACGTCAAAAGATTTGCCAAGGGTAACAACTTTTTAACCAAAAACTGCTTGATCCTCGGCCACTAAGGGTCATTCCCACGAAAGTTTCAAACAAGGGGTATTGAGTAGTAGCTTGTTTAAAAAGTCTTTTGAAGTCCTTTATTTTTACGTTCGATTTTTTAAATCGGTCGATTCGTTTTCAAGAAAATCAGAAAAATCTTTATTTTTCTTAATTTGTTCAGAAAGAAAACAAAACCACACGAAAATAACACTTCTTATTTCAATAAGAGTTCAAAATGTTGCCGTTCGGTTTTGTCAAAACTACAATTCGTTCATAATTTAAAACGAAAACTACCAACATAAACAGGAATTCGGAAGATTAGACGTGGCCAACAACCCGAATTTTTTCCGCATACCTTTCATCAACACAGATAACCTGAGAGAACTGTATTTTTTGTTATACCTGTTTAGCTATTTGTTGGTGAAGAAAGAATTTAATTTACTTGCTTTACTTTGTGACCATCTTAGTATAGTGAAAATTAATGTACTGATTCAGATTCAATTTCTAAAATGGTTTACACACAAACCGAAAGAGTGCCCGGCGAACTGCCGCGACGTTTAACGCCAGATATCCGGGGAAGATTACTTCGCATAGACATGTTTTGGACCTTGTTACTAAATTTACTCAAACTAGAGGCGAGTTTTGAATGGAGACATTAAAGTCGAAGTTTTGGGTCATTTTGAAATAAGTACTATTACTTCATTACTCAAAATTGTGGCTGCGACTGGTATATCATTAGACTCTGTACGCACAGTTACTAAACTCCATAAATTTCATCCATTCAAAATGAAAATATTGCAAGAGTTAACCGAAGATGATTTCGATAGGCGAGTTGGCGTTTGGGCACAAATGACTGCATCGATTAATGATAGTACCATTCATGTAAAGAATATCTGCTTCACTATTAAATGCACATTTTATTTAAATGAATTTGCCAATAAGCATAACTGCAGGTATTGGACCAATAAAAATCCTCATGCTTTTGTAGGAGGGCATACCCAGTACCACAAAAAAATTAATGTATGGGCAGGCATCTTAGGAAACAAAGTGAGTGGGCCATTTTAGAAAATACAACCAATCCTTTTATCACTGAAACCATTAAAAACCAAATCGAAGAGGATGGAAACCCTATACTTGATGAGGCTGAAATATATTTCCAGCAAGATGACGCTCCTCCTCACTTCCGGTTCGGTAATGTCTAGATAAATCGATAGGGCAAAGAGGGCCTAGATCTCCTGATATGATGGCATTAGACTTTTTTCTATATTGTTCACTTCCCAACCTAAAAGTGTGGATGAACCTCGTCAACGCATCATCGAAAGCTGCCATGACATCCCACAACATGTTTTTGAAAATGTCCGTCAGGAATTTGAACATTTTGAACACTTATTGCAATAAAAAGTAATATTTTCGTGTCTTTTTGTCTTTTATATGAACAAATTAAGATAAATGTAGGTTTTTCTAATTTTCTTGAAAACGAATCTATCGATGTTAAAAAATCGAACGTCAAAATAAAGGCCTTTCAAACCAGCTACTACCTGATACCCCTTGTCATTTAAAATTTTAAAGGGGATTAGACTGGTGGGCAGAGGGTGAAGGGGAGTGAAGTAGTTTTTGGTTAAAGAGTTGCCCAACTTGACAAATCTTTTGACGTGTTTCTTGTAAAACAAGTATTGTGATTGGCTATTTTTGCAGAATTATAGGTCACTAAGGAACGCCACCGTTAGAATTTAATTTCTCTTAGATGTATTTGTCATTTTATATTCCAGGTATTTTTTATAATTGGGTATACTCGTAGAAGTAAAATTCGCTCTACAAAGCTTAGTAAGTAGTTAAACACAGTAGGCGTGAGGCGTTCTTTCGAGAAGCAAGAGTTTCACTAAGTAGGAACACCTGCAACCTACACAACCAATTACTTGAGAGACCGACTATTAATGTCTTATGAAGCTGCCTCGTCTCGTTCAGTTCGACAGAATTGGACTTCCAAAAGCGTTAAACTACCTTTCAAACGAAAATGATTGTTTTTTTACTTCCCACGCCTACTGGCGAGTAAATACTGCAGTCGCGAAAAATTTCGAAAATAAGATATTGTGTTTTTTAGATATTATATAACGTGTACATCACGGAAAACTATTTCACTAATTTCAATCTATGTGTCCGCCAATCCTTGGCCTGTCTTTAACTTGAAAAGTGTCACCCGAACGAACAAAAAAGCTTTCTAGTTTTTGAAAATCGGTTCAGTGGCGACGGTGTAGAGATCAAGGAAAACATCGCTCAATCAATAGTTTCGTTTGGTTGACTGGTGTGGTTCAGCAGCGTTGCCACATGGTCGATACTTACCTCAGGTAAGAAACTAGCGTTAGCGTTATTGAATCTGCGGGCATTCTGGAGTATGGACCAATCGTATGGGCCTGTTTGGTAGACTTGATATAAATAATTTTCTTTGTTATACGTGTTTGTAGCTAGCCTAGAGAGACTAATTTGTAGCTTTATGAACTGATGACAGCATTGTGCGGGATGTGCAAAGTCAACCAACTGACGTAATACAAAACTAACATAAATCAGTTAGATTAGGCGAGTATTCAAACTTAGTGAGTCCAATTTATTTAAACACCTCAACGTAATAAATTCAAACACGGATGAAAGCTTGTAGAAAAATCCTTGGAATTATACGGTCTCATTCAGGAGATATCCAAAAAGATCCATTTTCGATTTCATCAATTCGCACGCGGTTCATTAAAATATAATACATTTGAAATTCTAAATATGTAGGGTCAATGAATTTTGACTCAATAAGGATAGTTGCTCAGCTTTTCGTTGCCGACCGAGACCAGGCCTGCACAATGCTGAGAGGTCCTCAAATAGCTCGAAACAGCTGCACAAACGAAACCTATATTACTAACATGAACTATGCTTCTCATGATGTTCTTATTATTTATAGTTTTATTTTGCGATAACATTTCAAAATCCCTAGAGCGACGCAGCTGGCTATGAAAAGATTCTCGAAAAGCTTTCGAATTATTTTGCTTCAGCCTGCCGTTGCCGGTTCCCCACATCTCTTCAGAGTGTAACAGAGCGACGCTTCACAGACATTTATATTTCACTTAGATTTTCATTGGATTATCTCGGATAGGAAAAGTGGAGATTTGTAAGGGCTGTTTTTCTCCACGCGTTCCGTTCGTTGCTTTTGCTTTTACGGTCTGCGGATGGTAGCTCAGGAATATCCTTATTTCGATCTAATTTGTGGATGAATGTCATCGCTATATGTTAGCGATCTCCTTTTGAACACCGTCTATATTCTGAGAACGGTTACAGCTTCATACCTGCCCAGTGTAATACCGAGGAAGTAATAAATGATGTCAAGTAGGTCGACTGAATCCAACCACCATGCACAGAGGTATTTATCTTCTGTTGACAATTATTTCAGAAATAACTAAATACTAAGTTTCATCTTTTTTAGGTTTCTTTTTTTTTGGCATTTTATGGTACGGGGGGTCAAAACAAGTCAAAAAGTTCATATGACCCATGGTCCAAAAGTCAATAGATTTTTGTCTGAATGGCTTTATAGTTTACAACTGCAAGTGCTTTATATTGACCACAATCTTACTAATTTTTATAATCTAATCTAAAACGTTTTTAAATTGGGTAATTAACCAATAAATGGATTAAGTTTTTCTAAGGTAAGCCAACATTTGTAGTCAGTAACTAAGTAAGTTTCACTAAATTGAATATTTATAACACACATGACAACAGCGCGTCGGTCATCATCACTATCGAACAGCAATCGATCGCAAACGTAACAGAGGTTAGCATGTGTTTGATTTACAGAATTCAAATCTCGCAGCTCAAATTTATAGCGACAGATTTCGCCAACGGGTACACCCAGTCAGAAGGACATTTGTGCAAGTGTACCAAAGACTTCGAGATACAGGGAGTG